AAAATGGTTACTTAATTTCACTGATTTAGTAAACTTTTATTTTATATATAAACCTAGTATTATAATGTTTCTCATGTAAGTACTAAGGACATGGGTCATTCAAAATAAAAATATCTATAAGAACACCGGATTTTATATCTTACTGTTCTTTCTTTTTATTTATATATATATATATATATATATATATATATATATATATATATATATGAAAGTTAATGGTCAGAGTTGAATCAGACAAGGGATCAGTAGTATTAAAAAGTGGTCAATACACGTGAGAAAATAAGTAAAAATAAAACTAACATGTAGAGCTTTTAAGTTTAAAAATCAGGAGGTCAATTAAAATACGCGACTACGGTTTTGACCTGGCGGTCTCGTCGGGCGTTAATTTCAAAATGACCACTTTCACGCTTTATTTAAACAAAAACCACAAAGAACGCTGCATGGTAAAGCAGATGAAGGAAAGAATGAAAACGGACAGGAATGTAAGTGTATTGTAAATGTTTACAGTAAAAAGGGAAAGCAAATATGTAACTTAATCATGGTGGGTAGGGGGGCCGTGTCTGAAGGGTAACAGTGGGGCTTTTTATCTTATATTTTTTAACTGGCTTCATATTCACTTAATAAAAATTGTTTTATATGGAGGCAAAGGCTTAGAATTTCTGATTTTTGGTTTAAAAGATTTGGGGGGTTTAGGAATATCATAATTGCTAATTTCTCATATTGGCATAGTTTGCAAATGTGGGTATAATTTTTATATGTTTTTATCTTTTTTAAAATTGTCCACCTTACGATTGGGTCCCTGTAATTTTTTCCTTTTAAATTCCACATGTGCCTGACAAGTTTGGTGGAGTATCTAAGGTTTAATAGCTTAAAACTCGATGTGTGATTGTACCATCTGCCGCCTATATATGTTTTAATTTGACAATTTATATTTATTACTTCTGCTTTATAAATAATAGATTCCGTTTTGCAGGCTCCATTTAATGGGCATCTAATTTTATTTCTACAGTTGCATAAATTACTAGAATTATTTTGCAGCACGCTCGGTTTGAGGTTTCTGTTATTTTGTCTTTTTATTATTGTATCTAAATTACTTGTGCAGCTGTATTTGAGTGCCTTTTTATTGAATATCTTATATCCGCCATAACAATTAAGTTACATATTTGATTTTGATTTCCCTTTTTACTGTATACATTCGCAATACTCTTACATTCCTGGCCCTTTCTATTCTTTCCTTCACCTCCTTTTTCACTTCGCTTCCCATTACACCCAATGAACTTTCAATCATAATGCACCTGTTATTTTTTAAAGATAATTATGTGGCGTTCTTTGTGGGGTTTTGTTTAAATAAAGCGTGAAAGTGGTCATTTTGAAATTAACGCCCGACGAGACCCCAGCTCAAAACCGTAGTCGCATATTTTAATTGACCTCCTGATTTTTAAACTATATATATATATATATATATATATATATATATTCATACATGTTTCGTTAGATAATATAGACAAGTGTTGTCTATTTATTTTATATAAATTCTTTTCATAACGTCTGATAAGCTTAATAACATTATCATTAAACGAAGAAAGAAAATCACAATATTGACACATATTTTTTAATCCAATCTAAGCTTTCGGCTTACATAATCCATAATCAAAGATGACACAAATGTAGTGTCAAGCGTCGTGAAAGCGAGTTTGTGGTGTGACCAACATAAATATTATTTAATTCGTTGGAGATACAATCTCCCAAAGGGCACTTGAATTTGTAAACTATGTTGGTTTTTTGCAAATCGCTAAACGGGGTAGAAGAATCATTGCGAATTGAGTTGGATATATTAGATTTAGTGTAGTATATGATTGACTTAATATTTTTGCTAGGATCTGTTGTAGATATATTAGTATTTACTCATTTTTTAGTATATTTTCATCTTGTTTATAATTAGTATGCATTATATATATAAATATACTAAAAAATTATTAAATACTAATAACAAATTCAAGTGCCCTTTGGGAGATTGTATCTCCAACAAATTAAATAATATGTATGTTGGTCACACCACAAACTCGCTTTCACGACGCTTTAAGACTTCATCGAACTTCTAGTGTGTCATATATCCACATTCCCAATATTGTTCTTTATATATGAAAATTTATATATTATTATCTCATATATATTATGATGATTTAAGTTTCTCTATTTTCCGAATTATATGATAGTTGGTACATTTACTGTATTTATTTTATAACGTTTTTTACAAAATTATATTTTACAGCCACGAATTTATATTAAAGCAATCGACTATTTTAAATGCTTTTGAATCAATAAATGCTGTCATGCTTTTAACAAACTCTAGCATAGTACATATTTGAAATTTGAAATTTTAAGTTTACGATTAGTGTTTATTTTGTAGAGTATAAATATGATTATCTGGTAATAATCCGATAGATTTATCAGGATGTCTGACCCAGATGAACGATGCTACGGGAAAACTCTGGATCAGTCAAGTCGTAAAGAGCAATGGACCTACAATTTCAGCGCCTCTAAACATCACACACTAAATCCATTACATTACCCACTGCCAGTAACTACATAGCTTCATTTGTTATGCACGTTAACATGGCATTCGTCGCTGTAAAAAAATCGGTCATCGTATATTTTCTTGCCTATTTCATTCATTTTTTTAAAGGAGGCTCACTGATTGTTTGTTATGAGTGGTTAGGTCTGTTTTCTGACCATGAGATCCGTGTTCGAATCTTATTATGGTCGATTTGTCAGGAAGATATCTTCTTGATGTTATCGGTATGGAAGACGCGATGCCAGCGCACAGCACCTTTAGAAAGTGCCTGAAAAACATACTACGGGTTGACCCAAGTCTTGTGAGTGAAGCCGGAGCCCTTTGGGGAGCCGTTGATGGTTGTGCTAGCATCGTGACCGTGTGTTTTAGTGTACTGGCCTTGTTCAGACTGTTTGTCATGCTAGATAACGCAAAATCAGTTGCAGTATAAACCACAGGTAGGTGCTATTGGCGTTGAACAAACACAAATGTGTCTGAGCAGGCGTCTGCAGCAGGGATTGGCTAACCGCCCTTTTTTGACACATCTACGCTGTCACAACGTTTCAGCATTTCATAGATTTTAATTTTATGTTTTTTTTTATAATTTCTCATTTGACGCGGAACACAGATCGATGAGATAACACCCTCAACTTACTCTTATCAAAATTACCAAGAGTCCAAAAGCATCAATACCGGTTTTAACACAAAAGACATCTGTAGCACAATTCTCAATAGGAAGGTCAAGAATATCAATCCAAGGGGTGTCTCGAATAAAATCCAAATCAGAACGCTGGTAACAGAAAGAAGCCTTGTGAATAGGAGGTCCCTGTCTAATAGACATCTCAAAGAAATCTCAACAGCGTGATCCGCATTGCCAAAAGAGAAAATCTGTGATGTACTGCAAAATCTAGAAAAGGAGGCAAGCAACAAACCAAGTAAGGAAGAATGTTGATCAAATTTTTCAGGGATACAAATTGGGAAATCTACTATTTGACTTGAAGACTGAGCAACAGAAAAATTAAAAGTTTGAATACTGGCAACATCAGCAATATTAGAATCTTTAAGCCACTTGACGTGTTGAGCATTAAAATCACCAATCACAAAAATGTCCACAGATGAAGGTAGATTAGATTTAGATTTAGATTATCAGACATGTTTTTTAGTATATTACAATCCTGAGAAGGAGAGCGATAAAGGAAAAAGCTACAGCTAGCAGAGTGCAATAACGAAAGTCGAAAGCACATGAAAAATTCATCTGGGGACTCAAGCAACAATTCCTTTGCAATGTGGATATTTTCCCAAATATGAACACCATGGTCATGCATATGTATGCTAGAAGCTTTTCGGCAAAAAAGAATGTAATCTGAAACAGAGAATTCATTGGTAGCGATAGAATAATTTAAATTAGTTTCACAAAGTCAAAGATATCTGAAGAACCATTTAAAAGATTCTATACTACAAAAATTGGAACGAATACCACAAATATTGGAGAAAGAATGGTTGAGTTGATTAGATGATCTTTTGTTTATTGGTTTAAACGTATTTTTTTTCATTGTATCTGTCACAAGAATGTTTTGTTTTAAGAAGAAAAAAGTTAAAATAATTATCAATATCTATCGTCTCTGGCAATACAAACTGACCAGACTGAAACATAATGAGACCCCAGGGGTTGCCCACCAGAAATCCATGCAGGGGCACGTATACTTGCGCGATATGGCACTACAAATACTCCGATATTATTCAACTGTTGATCAGAGAAATCTCTCTAAGCGCTATTAAAGATTTCGGACTCCTTACTATCAGTCGGAAACAGCAAACAGAAAACTACCAACCCGCTACCCTCATAATGAAAAGTCGCAGCCACTGATCAGTCTGATGGCCAAAAATGGTAAACTATATCCTAAACAAGGAACAAGGGATAACCCTTTATTCCTGTCCAATAAACATGGAAGGTGTAATGACAGGGCGATAATGAAAAGATGAATCTGTTTACTTACAATCAGAATTAAAATATAAATGATCGATCACGCAGGGTCAATAAGGTATTGAATTTGTTTCTAAAATTGGCACAACAAGGTGTGTCTAATGAATTGGCTCGTAAAATATTCCCACAGTTATAATGACAGGTGATTTTAATAGGGTGATACAATAAACAATGGCTAAGTTAAATCGAGAAAAGTCTGAGGAGAATAAAAGGTCGTTTTAGCAACTCATCTCCAATTCGACAAGCGACGGAAAGATAAAATAAGAAATAAAAGAGGAAGGCGAAAATGGCCTGATAAAAAGCTGATAAAAAATAAAAATGAAAATTGAGAAGAAAAATCAGACAAAATGATAAGAAGAAAAAAATGTCGTGAAGGAAAAATAATAGTTGCGCTTAAAAAAAAAGATAAAGAAACTAAGAGAGGGAGAAAAAGAGAAAGAGAAAGAAAAATAGATAAAGAAACTAAGAGAGAGAGAGAGAAAGAGAAAAACAGATAAAGAAACTAAGAGACAGACAAAGAAAGAAAAAGGAAAAATAGATAAAGAAACTAAGAGAGAGAGAGAAAGAGAAAGAAAAAATAGATAAAGAAACTAACAGAGAGAGAGAGAGAAAGAAAAAACAGATAAAGAAACTAAGAGACAGAGCGAGAAAGAGAAATTAAAAATAGATAAAGAAACTAAGAGAGAGAGAGAGAAAGAGAAAGAAAAAATAGATGAAGAAACTAAGAGAGAGAGAGAAAGAAAAAACAGATAAAGAAACTAAGAGACAGAGAGAGAGAGAGAAAGAAAAAACAGATAAAGAAACTAAGAGACAGGCAAAGAAAGAGAAAGTAAAAATAGATAAAGAAACTGAGAGAGAGAGAGAGAAAGAAAAAATAGATAAAGAAACTGAGAGAGAGAGAGAGAAAGAAAAAATAGATAAAGAAACTAAGAGACAGAGAGAGAAAGAAAAAAGAGATAAAGAAACTAAGAGAGAGAGAGAAAGAAAAAATAGATAAAGAAACTAAGAGAGAAAGAGAAAGAAAAAAATAGATAAAGAAACTAAGAGAGAGAGAGAAAGAAAAAATAGATAAAGAAACTAAGAGACAGAGAGAGAAAGAGAAAGTAAAAATAGATAAAGAAACTAAGAGAGAGAGAGAGAGAGAGAGAGAAAAAGATATGGCTTAAAGTGGGAAATAGAAAGAAAGTATGAAACAAAAAAGATCAACAAAGAAAGACTATCCAGTTGTTAACAAGAAGAACCAATTCTGACCGAAATCTGTGAAGCAAAATTAAATCCTGGATATTTAGAAAAAGAATGAAAAATTCTAACAAGACAAGGTTACTTCTGGATAATTCTTGAAACAAAAATTCTAGTGTTTTTTTTTTTTTAGTTACTTCAACCTCAGCCGATTGTAATTTTTTCCAATTCTCTTCCTATCCCTCCTTTCACTTCCCACTTCTTTTCCACATCCTCTTCTCTCTCTCACTTCTGTAAAAGTTATTTGTATTCACTTAGAGTCTCTCTCAATATTCTGCGCCCCCTCCTCCGTCTTCTCCCTTTTTTTCTCTCATTTACTCCGCCTCAACTTGGCATCTAACAACAACCCCAGTCTTGAAGTCACAATTTTGAGTCGGTTTTGTTTTCATTTTGTTTATTAATTCTTCATTTTAATTTTCTTATATTGGTTTTCTTTAAACGCAGGAAGTTCGACGTTTGGTTTATCGAACAACTTGAAAATATTTTTAGCAGATAACAAATCGCCTATCAGTTTTGATTACGGAAAAGGCAGCATTGATTACACGAAACCGGTCGCTGACTTAATGACCGGAAGTGAAGACTTTTAAAAAACTGTGCGAAATAACCAAACCAAAATGGAAAACAGAAGAATAAAAGACAGGTAACTCTAGCCAAAAAAAAAAATAATAATAATAATAATATTTTTTTTGTTTTTTGTCAGTGGAAAGTGTCATGATGCCATTTCTAACCTTAGGTTCCTGGGCGGGATCCGGAAAGAAATGTGTAAACGCCAGAAATCAAAGAAAATAATAATAATGATGATGATGATGATGATGATGATGATGATGGATCAAAATCAACCGAATATAAAATATAATAATAATAAGGGATCAAAATCAAGCGAAAATGGATAATAATAATAATAATAATAATGGATTAAAATCAACCGAATATAAAACTGAAAGGGTGGGCAAATATCTGCATTGGAAAATCTGTAACTTTTACTGGAAGGAAATTGCAAGAAATTAGTATAAACATCACCCAGATCCGGTTTCAGAGATAGGAGCTGCAACAATTTTATGACCACTTTACACACAGACAGAATAATCAAAGTTAATCGCCCGGATATCGGAATCAAAGACCACAAAAACAGAATATGCTTTCTTAGTGGCATGGCAATTCTTGTAGACAGTAGTAGAAGATTTTCAAAATACTGTCAAAATACAAGGATCTTGAAGTGGAAATCTAAAAAATATGACACATTTAGATATCAATAATTCCAGTTGTAGTTGAAGCCTTCGGATAGATTAGAAAAGGTTCCATAGACTCATTGAGGGGATTCTTAGCAGCCCATACCTTAAAGAAATACAAGAAATTGTTCTCACAATTACAACTCTTGACTTACAAAGAGTTTTTATCAATGTAAAATGTGTGTGTTTTTAGATTGTTTTATTTTTATTTATTTTTTAAATGGTCAGCGAAAATGTCATGATGTTATTTCTGACCTTAGGTCTCTGATTGGGACCCGAAAGGAAGTTAGTATACAACAGAAATCAAAGGAAATAATAATAATAATAATAATAATAATAATAATAATAATAATAATAGCACACACCTGGAAATCTCCAGGAATAGATAAAAATCCCTAACTTTTGGCCCTGTTGTAGAGGGCCGTGGCTGTTATGTAGAAGAAACGCAAGTAAGGTTCAGATTTTTCCTGCTCGCCGGGCCCAACTACATAAAAAGGTTGGACTTTGATTAAGTCCAAAGAAGAAGGCAAAGAGAAACAAAGACCGATAATATATGTATATACAAATATATATTAATAACAAGTTACAATACATGGAAACCGTTACAAAGGACGAAGTGTGTGTGAATATTCTGTATGTGCGTGTGTGTGTGAATATTCTGTATGTGCTTAGCGTGTTCCCGCGCTATCCCTTGTTAGCGCCTACATTTCGAGGTTGTAAGCTGAAAGCCTGAGGAAAAAGAGAGATTTACCTCCAGGTGTCGACACGAAGGCGCCAGGGGAAAAAAGAGAGAGAGGCGAAGGGTCAGCGGCTATTTATAGAAGCGAAGAGCGACCCCTGGTGAAAGGGTTACGAACTGAAGGAGGAGTTAACTCCGACACTATTATCTAAATACAGGACACAAAAACTAGCCAAAGAACTTCAAGAAATGGTCAATGACTATGCTAAAATTCCGGCATGGATAAACAAAGAAATTACCTTCTTTCTACCCAAGAATGGTGATACAAATGTCTCAAAAACCTCAAAAAAATGTCTTCCCTTTATTTACAAACTATTGACATCTATTCTGACAAAACAGATACATTCCTTCGAAAAAAAATGACATACTACCTCTTGAACAAAATGGATGCAAACGTGGCTCTTAAGTATGTAAAGACCAATTATTTATTAATAGGATGGTCTTGTAAAACTGCTTCAGTACAAAGAAAAATCTGAGTACTGGTTGGATAGATTACCATAAGGTATTCGATTTGTGTACCCTATTCTTGGATCTTAACTTCTTTAAATATATACAAGGTATCATCCGTCATCATTAATTTCATCAAAGTATGACGATATGGAAAATAATACTTCAACTCAATCATGTAAATGGAGTTTTTAAGTCTGGTGAAATAGGCATTAACATAAGAATATTTCAAGGTGACTCTTTGTCTCTCTTACTATTTTGTATATCGCTAATAGCATTAACCAGCGAACTTAACAGGATAGAATATGACTATAAGATATCTCAAAAGAAAATTACTCATCTATTCTATATCAATGAATTAAAGTTGTATGCTATGAATGACAGTGAGCTGGAATGTCTCCTGAAAACGGTAAAATGTTTCAGTGATTATATTGGAATGGATTCGGTTTCGATAAATTTGCTAAAGCTCGAATATTACGAGCATCACTGCAACAAACTTCCTTTAACTTAGACCCCGGGAGTAACAATCAAATATTTAGAGCAAGAAGGAGCATATAAGTACCTCAGTGTAAATTAGTGTGAAGGAATTCACCATAAAAAATGAAAAAAAATAGTGCGAAAAGTATACGATAGAAGGGTGTGACCGATATTAAGAACTGAAATGAATTCTCAGAACAGAATTATGGCCATTAATAGCCTCGCCATTCCAGTGGTGTTCAATATAGTTTCAACATCTTGAACTGGACTCAAAATGATATCAGACAACTGGATTCTAAGACATGAAAGCTTCTTTCAAAGCATAACATGCATCATCCAATGGCTGATGCAAACCGAATATACATACTCCGTAAAGAAGGTGAAAGAGGTTTTTTCAGCTAGAATTCTCATACAAGACAACTATTGGCTTACTAGCATACATAAAAACAACAAAGGATTGGATGATACAATTAGTCAAACAACGCAAAAGCGGAAAGAAAAATATATTCAATCATGAAAGAAGGTTTTAAATACAAACGTGATTTTGTAGAAAATTAAAACAGAACCTAACAACCAACTATTGCAGCGAAATTATGAAAAAGAAAGCTAAGTATAAAGCTCTTGAGCAGATGACACAACGCTGTCAAAACAAACCTCTGCATGACTAATATCCAGAACGAGGCTAATAAAGCCGATGTTGATAAAGTTAGCACTTATGGATGGTTATGAGCATCTGGATTAAAAGCTAAAATAGAAGGCTTTATACTTGCAGGGCAAGATCAGAGTCTTTTCACTACGAACTTTCAGGCGAATATTATACATAATAGTGTAGATCCAGATTCTGTGACAAATATCAAGAAACCATAGATCATTTAATCTCAGGATGTTCTGTACTTGCGCCAAATTAATATAAAAATCGTGGGACAATACTTACACTGGATAATGTGCAAACACTTTGGAAAAGTTGTTAATAAACACTGGTATGAATATCACCCAACACCGGTTACAGAAACAGAAGACATCACAATTCTATGGGATTACGCCGTCTTTACAAACAGGAAGATTGAAAAAAATAGGCCGAACATAACTATCAACAACCGAAAAAAAATCTTGCCCACTAATTGATATGACTTATCCAGCGGACTGTAACATAGCAACCAAGGTATTTGAAAAACTATCGAAGTATAAAGACCTGGAAATCGAAATAGAAAAAGTGTGGAAATTAAAAACAAGAATAGTACCAATCATAGTAGGTGAGCTTGGAATGATAAAAAAGGAACAAAACAACACATTGAAAAAGAACCCTTGGAACTCTCAGCTTAAAAGAAATAGAAAAAATTGTTTTGATAAAAAATTATTTTCTTTGTGAGAGTCATACTGAATTTTTATATTTCTGACGTTTAATATCAAAACTTTGTCCATGTAACGCTAATGATTTTATGGAAGTTGGATAAACAAATCATGAAATGCAGCCATAACAACACACCTACCTTAGGTCTTCCCGCAGACTTGGTAGGTAATGACCATAACAGAAAGTGAAATAATAATAATAATAATAATAATAATAGAAAGCTGGAGCCGAAAACATCTATACAGCCAGTTCCTTCTACGAATCTAAAATGCTGGTCTAAATCAATTCGCAACCCAGCAGTGACTTAGGAATTCAAGACTTAAGGGTGAGATTAAAGGGTTTATTCTTACTGCACATGACCAGAACCTGCTTACACGCAACTACCAAGCAGACCCAAAGTGTAAGTTCTGTTTACCAATACATTGAAACTATTGATCATCTTATATCAGGCTACCCAATAGTCACACCCAATAATTACAAAAACCTTCATGACAGGGTAGGTCAGTATCTATATTGAAAGATCTGTCATCACTATGGGTTTAAAACAGCTGTAAACTGGTCTGAACATCATTTTGAATCTGTAGTTGAAGGAGCAATGTTACCATTCTCTGGGATCGACACAGATCGACACAGATCGAACAATACAAGCACATTTCCCAAACTAAAGTCAGAAATGATTATTGACATTTGTGTATCACGTGACAAAAACATTTCTGCGAAGGTTTTTGAAAAACTAAGAACAAAAATCTGGAGATAGAAATAAAAAACGTGGCACTTAAGGCACTTAGTTTTTACTAACGGTATGGCTTCCTTATAGCAGGTTTTATTTTATTTAAAGAATAGGTGTTAGTAACTTTCTTCTTATAAATGTTTTTGTAAAACACTCCCACCCAAAGAAACTGTAATAAACAAACCTAGTCTATTGTATTATTTTTTTTTATTTACCCTTCAATTATTTTTACATAATTTTAACTTTCTTTTTATATTATATAAATTTTTATACTGAATTCGAATTTCGGTTAAGATATTTATCTTTACCTAGCATCTAATATCATTCTTCCTGCTTCTTGTTCCATTACCAATTAGTTTGATAAAATGCTGCTACACCCATAGTCAACCTTGACAGAGGTCGATAAGATGCTTTTCGCCACTGAGAACAACGATTATGTTAAACGTCAGAAATATAAAAATTCTGTGACTCACAAAAAAAAAAAAGTTCTTAAAGCTTTTCATTCGTTGATAGAGAAATCAATTCCTCGTTACGTCAAATGTCTAAAGATAAAAAAATGTAATTTTAAATGATATTTTAATTAAAAAACTAAAATCAAATAATCAAGACTTGAAGAAGCAAGAAAAATTATTCTTAATATTCTCGATGAAAGCGAGCAAAATAACTTTCTTCTATTTTATGAAAATTATCATAAAATGGAAGAAAGTTATTTTGCTCGCTTTCATCAAGAACGTCATTTTAAATCAAAGAATTCGGAGTCCTCAAAGATCGTCTTTTGAAATTCTTGCAAACGCTGAAGCCGTCATCTATTTTTACTTTCCAATATCAACCTACCGTCAGTAATTACTTTTGTCAGGCAGTTAAAGATAAACATCTATTTTAGACCCGGTTACTGTGCCGCCGTCGCTTTCAAATATTTCATTTGTTTTCCGGGTAATTTGTGACTTTGCCCACCTTGGGAATATATTCATTCTGTAAATTTATTCTTGTTCAAGTGCAAAAATATATTTCTCTTATTTACGAATAGCGGGAAAAACGTTATAGAACAATACCTTCTTAAATATTTCTTTATATATAAATTTCAAACTTGCGAGGCTCGTGATAAATAAAAAGAAAAATTCATATTACAGTAACGAATATATCAAACTTAACTAATTTAAGGGTATGTATATCTAGAAAGGAGGTATATATATATATACACACACACACACATATATATATATATATATATATATATATATATATATATAATACCTAATATGTTTCCAAGAAAACATTACAGAACAAAAGCAAAATACGAATCAGGCTGAAATTTTATGAAATATTCATTCGATAAACTAAGAATAAAATAATAAATGTTTGGCTGTGGAAAAGATACGCCTTTCGTTAACAACAGAATCAGAGTGTCAACATTTCTGAAACAAGAAAAGTACTGTCTCTATTTCTGAGATGAGGTATTGTAATTATTTACACTATTTACATTGTTCGGACTGTTGTCCTCATCTTTATTGCCATATTCACCTTCAACAACTGTCTCTATTTCTGAGATGAGGTATTGTAATTATTTACACTATTTACATTGTTCGGACTGTTGTCCTCATCTTTATTGCCATATTCACCTTCAACAACTGTCTCTATTTCTGAGATGAGGTATTGTAATTATTTACACTATTTACATTGTTCGGACTGTTGTCCTCATCTTTATTGCCATATTCACCTTCAATATCTGTCTCTATTTCTGAGATGAGGTATTGTAATTATTTACACTATTTACATTGTTCGGACTGTTGTCCTCATCTTTATTGCCATATTCACCTTCAACATCTGTCTATATTTCTGAGATGAGGTATTGTAACTATTCACACTATTTACATTGTTTGGACTGTTGTCCTCATCTTTATTGACATATTCACCTTCAACATCTGTCTCTATTTCTCAGATGAGGTATTGTAACTATTTACACTATTTACATTGTTCGGACTGTTATCCTCATCTTTATTGCCATATTCACCTTCAGCATCTGTCTCTATTTCTCAGATGAGGTATTGTAACTATTTACACTATTTACATTGTTCGGACTGTTGTCATCATTCTTGCTGTCATGTTTATGTTTCGGCCGTTGTACGCTCCGGCCTTCTTCAGCTGATTGGAATTTTGTCCATCAGGGTAGATTGTTCTAGTTCCACGGGACATGCCTCTTCCGGATATCTCAGTACCAATTCCAGTGATTTTCTTTTAGTAACTCAACCCTTCAAGTTTTTGTCCATCTCTGCTGTGGCCAGGTATTGAACTCACAACTCTTTGGGTCAAGTCACTGGATTACTTCAACCGATGCTTGTATCCACTGGGAAACGTCGTGAATAAGAATCGAAAAAAATAAAAGATGAAGACGAGTTATTAAATACGGGAGAGTATATATATACTATGATTGTAGATTGTTTCAAATTAGTAATCAAGCTGAATAAGTTCGAAACGCTGGAAACTTAAGTAAATGTTAGTGTTATATCGGAACATACCTATTCTATTGTTAATAGACTCTCCCAGATATATTAAGTAGTAGTAGTAGCAGCCGCCAGGGGGGAGGGGGCTCACAGTGAGTTGGTGAGTCAGTCGATGTCGGACATTAAAGTATCAACCATCACAACTAGATTGCTGCGTCATTAACTATTATTTCAAGTTCCTAACGTTTTGTACGTCCGACCTAATTTAGGACCGACTTATTGAAATACAAGACTCCACTGTGAAAACTACTCTACAACACATTGGCGACGAGGGATTCGTTACTCATACGGAGAAAAGAAAAAATTTTCGTTCACTCTATAACAGTTAGACAGCATATCGTGACTTTTCAACAGGTTTCATTTTTTCGATAACTTATATATCTGCAAATAATAGGGGTCAATTCTTTTTGATAACTGGCATGTGTTCTGGCGCACTAGATTTCTTAGACCCACTACCCGTGACCTTTACAACTGGGACTCGCCATGCCACGTACACTAGAGTGAATCATCTTCATTCCCTTCGTATACCATTAGTAAGGAGGAAGTTCTACTCGGGCTTTTTCTTCCCAAGAACTACTGCGTTGTGGAACAGAACTAACTCTTCAAGCGAGAAGGGCGAGAGAAGAAACTGTTAGCAACTTAGAAACTTGCAGTTACATCTAGCAGCCGTTTCAACTGTAAAATGCCGCCAATATAGTACTGCGTTTAAATTCATAAAGTCTAGAATCTATAGGAAAGTTCATCAGAAAAATTACCATGAAAGTATTTATAGAAAAGGCCCAGGGAAGCTACTTACTTGCCTGTCTTGATAGAGTTCAAAAGTGAGAGCCTCGCACTGTTCTGTCGCTATTTATATGGAATGTATTCTGACCAGGTACTTTCCTTACTACCGCCAGCCCTGACCTTTGCAACTGGGACCCAGCATACCACGTATGCAAGACTGAATCATCGCCAATACCCTTTGTATTTCTCTCCAACGGCTTCTTCTCAAGAACTGCTGCTTTGTGGAACAGACTCCTGACAGGAGGATTTCCCAATCGCTACAATTTTGATCTCTTTTAGTTTAGGGTTAACTGTTACCTTTCCTGCATAACCCCATAAACTTCACTTTACCTTTTCTGACGCTCATGCAACACTCTACCTTGAGTGGCTCTTAGGCCTTATATTGAGCGAACATTTGTATAAAAATAATAATAATAATAAAAGTGTAGATATGTGTCTGGAGTACTGAATTCGAGTACCATTGCCGGAAGTAACGTTGCAAAACTACCAATAGTTTTAAAAATACATTTAAAAAGTATTTTTATGAAGATGGAAGAAAATAAATAAAATAGAATTAATTTCTAGACTATTATTTCACTGACTAACTGCCATGGTGGAAAATATTATGGCATGCCAGTGACAAGACATTTTGCCAAGATATTTAGGTAGCATCAAGTAAAAGTGTATTCATGCCTTAGCAAAAGTTATAATTACTTGAGATTTAAACTTATTTAACTCATTGCCAGCTCGGCTGCTAAAATAGTTGGTTCCACGTGTCGTTCGAGACAATTTTTCTCTCTAGAATCTTACATAATTAAAAGTTTACTCTTTATGCTTAGAATATCGCTGCCATATATGATCCGTTGCTCCTGTTATTTAACTTTGATAAAATCCCCAAAAGAATCTGTAATATTATTGGTCCTGACCTGGCTCCTCGGCTTCAGTCACCTTCCCAACGCCGGAAAGTTTCCTCCCTCTGCCTTTTCTATAAAAGAAACGTTGGTCTGAAGGGAACGAATATTTGTATATTCATGAAATAAATTATAATCCAATGGATTTTTAAGGATCGTCTGTACTCATTATTATATTACTCTGTTCTTACATTGAACTCTCTTTGGATTAATGTCCTCCTTGGAATTATCCCTACAGATTATCAATTGATATTATATATATGTTTATGTATATTCATGAAATAAATTATAACCGAATGGATTTTTAAGGATCGTCTGTACTTATTATATATATATATATATATATAGAGAGAGAGAGAGAGATCTGTGTGTACGTGTGTGTTTGTGTGTGCGTGTGTGTCAATCTTCAACGCTGCGAATTCTTATCATTATTCTTCTGTTGATATAAAACCAATTATTCAATGAGGAATCAGATGCTATTTCTTTCTATTAATATTCACGTAAGTAATCTAAACATATTTATTATTCCGAATAAATTGACTATAAAGAAGAAAATGCAAGAAAAATGTTTTATATTTTACAAGTACAATGTTATTGAAAAATTATTTAAATATTTCCTTCAATTTTTTTATTGCATATGTAAACAAAAATATTATTAATGAATTACGATTTATTCCGAACCTATAGACAAGATGTCTGCTGCATAATTATTCAATGGGGAAGACAATGTCATATCTTTAGTTTAATAATGTTCTGGAATCACTGAATATAATAAGTTAAATGTAAGAAAAGTGTTTGTTATCTTACAAATATAATAAAACTGTAAGATTTCTTAAGTAGACATCACATTTTTTTATTATACAGGTAATCGTCTTTTCTTTTTCTTTTTTTTTTTTTTTTTTTTTTTTTTAGATGACGTCGAACAGTCAATTGACGTAGATTGACGATTGGACAACATTTTTTCCAGCAATTTCAAAATGTCTTAAAGTTGAAAGGATTATATCGATTCAAAACGACGTTGGGGCTCAGTAGTGGTTGAGTGTGGTATATTGAAAAGATATTAACCGATTATCCGAACAAAACACGTCAATTCAAGTAAAATTAAAAAAAAAAAACAATTTTGTAAAAAAAATCTGGAAAT